CAATGCACGTGCATGGGTACTTTAAAATATTTGTAGACGTCTTCTGTCTGCTTGTACGGAGGTTGCAGATCCGGTGGCATGGAGTTGCAGCTTCTGGATCAGTTGTTTGCTACTTTGTACAGGTAGACTGTCGTGCACTATTTGTTGATTTTTGTAGGCAGATCAAAGTGCACTAACTAATCTTTTGCTTTAAGTCATAAGAGATTGCACTTATTGAAGTTATTCTGTATTTGCTTGACAATAGTATTTGTGGATATGATAGGTTCTCTACAGTAATTTGTAGATATTTGTATTTGCCACTATCGATCTCTTTTGCTTGTGGGAACATATGCATCTTTTCATAGATAACCTACTGTGGGTATATCTATGTTCATAAATGACCCATTACTTATGCAACATGTTTATTATCAGTGATTGCAGGGGTTGATATATCTCTTGTACACTAGCTCTTGATATTTGCAAAGAATTGTAGTATGTTTACTTAGAGCCATGTGACATCGTCTGTATGAAACTTATGATTATCTTATGCTTCTCAAATCAACTTTGAATCTTTATTCATGCATGCTTTATGGATCTATTATCCTTGAAAGTGGCTTCTCAACAATCATTATCCATTGATATTTAAATCTTACTTGGCAAGAAGGCTTTGAAATATTTGTAGGAAAACCATACACTACTAGTTGAAGGCATATTTCCATGTTCCTCATTTAGTCATTGTAAGCATATCACTTTGATTGAATGACTTGAGCCACATCAATTTCACCACTCGTTCATATGGTAATTTTCATTTGGGTGAATATGATCGTTCCTCTATGATTGTGCATCTATTATTCGGAGGTCCAATCCATCACTTAGTGATTTGTGTCATGCTTCTCTATGTGAATTCTCCATTTGATTTTGATTGAGAATCCATGAATATCAAATAATGTTTGTATATCACAAATGACTTTTATTGTTTGATTACATTTTTATTTGATTTTTGCTTGCATGAGTTATCGATTTGTCATGTCTATTAATAAACAACACATTGTATGTTGGTATTTGCATTCTTAAAGACCTTGAATATTTGTGAAAAATCATATTCTTAGAACGTTGATTGATCATCATCATTGGAAGGGATATCATACATTGCATCATGTGCATCTACCCTTCATTTGTATGCACTTAAGACTTAATTCTCATGAGTCTTATGTTGTTCAATTCATTGATATTCATTTGAATGCCTTGCCTCATCATTCATTTGAGTTCAAATTTATTCACCTTAAGCTCATTATCATTTGTTCCA